CCCCCCAGAAGCAGGACAGCAGGTAATGGAGACCTCAACATTTTGGTCGCTGAATTGAGCAAATACATTCAGAGCTAATGAGCACCAGGACATTTATTTTCTGGGGAGGCGTGGCGCGACATTAATAGTCCCCTTCCAAACTTTCCTGCACACAGTAGAATGGCAGCTAATGAGCTATTTTAGCTATCGATGGGGAATCTTCAAATGTTCCTCCCACCCAGTCTTCTACTTCTGACAGGCTGGGACGAGGTGAGCTGGAAATTCCAGGGGGATGCCTTGTGTAAGACACCCAAGGATGACCTGGGCTTCTGAGCCTGGAGATGGCCTGGGAGGGCCCTTAGTGGCCCTTGTTTGATTATTTCTATAACTGAGGGTCAGTGTGACTCTTCCTAAGCCATGAGCTCCCAGTCAATGTCCAGGCAACGTGCCTAGGGTGTTAGAATTCCTGTGGTCTCGAGCCTCAAAGAGACACACAATAACTGGCTCCCAGCCTCACCACCTGGATTCTGTCAAAGTTTTGGAAAACTTAATGCCGAAGTCAGATACAGAAAGTGTAACATCCTTGAAAGTAGGGATTCTTTCGACCGTTGTGGCTCATTGCTGTTGGAAGGTCTTCCTCTAGACAGGAAATTTCTGCTTCAGTTGTCTGTGTGGATGCCCATGGCATCCACCACAAAACACTCCGGGCAGGGGTTTATGGTTGGAGCTGAGGCCAGACCAAGGCCTGAGGTTGGCATTATGTAACAGAAGTACATTGTGGGTCTCAGTGACCCTGGATGAACGAGTTCCCTGGGCAGCAGAGCAGCACTGCCCCAGAATCTGCAGTCTCCCTGCCAAGGATAGCTCTAAGGCACTCAATGCCTCTCAGCCTGTTCCAGCTCCAGAGTGCACGCACTGGCTGCCTGGTGCTTTTCTGGATGGCTCCGATATCTCTTCATGAAGGATTCTGCTTTAAAGGAAATTCATTCACTCTGCAACCACAAGCAAGATCTTTCTAACCACAGTCTCTAAAATTGGATCCGTGATCTACAGCTCCTCATTCATCTGCCCATCCAGCTTCTAGATCATGCACCCTGTGCCCAGCCCTAATCGGGTACATGGGTACGGAGGGTCGCAGAAGCAAAGCCTGCAGGGCAATTCCTATGCAGTGCCTTCTGCAGCTGCTCCACCTCCAGCCTCACTCCACACCTGCCACCAGCAGGGGATCCAAGCATCTGGGCTGAGAAAGTGGGGGCCTGGAAAGTGGGAGCCGTAGGAGTTGGGAGGGGAAAGCAGAGATGAGAACAGGGCAGGGGCGTGACCATGTGACTAGCTCCAACCAATGGGCGTGTGCAGAAGAAACGGCAGTTTGGGGCCGGAGAGACGGCTGAGTTAAGAGCACCTGTTGCTCTTATAGATGACCCAGGTTTGGTTCCCAGCACCCATGTGGCAGCTAACAACTGTCCATAACTCCAAGTCCAGGGAAGTTTGATGCTCTCTTCTGACCTCCACAGGCATTGCATGACACAGGTGCGCCTACATACATGGAGGCAACACACAATAAAATATTACAATAAAATATTGTAAAAAGAGAAGCAATGGCCGTTTGGAATTGGGTCTCATTCTCACTTATTCTCACAGTGACAGACACCGGTGACAGCTCATGACCAGCAAGGGCTCAGAGTACACAGCTGCCCTGGCAGCGCCGTGTCAACAGCAACGAAACCTGTCCTCAATGCTGTATGGCTGAGCTAGTGAACAGCTTAAGAGCTGAACTCCAACCCCAGATCACACATGCTGCCATCTCAAACCTAATTGGGAGCCAGGATTCTTAAAGTACTGGGGTCAGTTGAAGTTACTGGGGTAGGTCCCAATCTACTCCGACTATTGTCCTTACAGGAAGAGGTTAGGACACAGACACTCATAGAGGGATGACCACGTGAAGACATGGGGAGAAGAGGACCACCTACAAGGCAAGGAGAGGCCTCTGGGGTGGGGGCGGCCATGAGGCTGTACTCAGGTATAGAGTCTCTGAATTTTAAGAAAATATACGCTGCTATTTGAGCCCTGCAGCTAGCTTAGTGCAGCCACCTGAGGGGATCTGGGCCTGGGTTAAGACCAGAGACTAGGGCTGGAGAGATGGAACAGCAGTTAAGAACACTGACTGCTTTGCAGTGGATCTGGGTTCGATTCCCACCACCCACATGGTGGCTAACAACCATCTATAGTTCCAGTTCCAGGGGATCTGATTCCTTCTTCTGACCTCCATGGGCACCGCATGACACAGGTGCACTTACATACATGCAGGCAATATACTCATACACATAAAATAATTAATGATAATAATAATAATAATAACAACAGGGGAGGTCTTGGGAAGCAAGGCAGGAGGGTCCCAGCTTTCCTCCTTGGAGTTTTGGGTGCAGCCCTACTAGGCTTATATCTTAGGAGCCGTGTGGTTCCAGTTTGGTCTCATGTCCTACTCCAGTCACACGCTGCCTCCAAGATGTAGCTGGAAACAGGTTTTCCAATGGTCAGAGCCCACAGCAAAGCCACTGCTGTACCTAGTGGAGTCCAGTTATACACAGAGCTGGTACTCACTGGCATGAAGCTATGGGTCATGGCCTGCCCACCTCACCCACAGGGCAGACACCAGGCCTCACAGTATGTCAGAAGCCATGGCTCACCTCAGGGACTCAGCAAGCGTGTGTTGCTAGGTGACACAGCTAGGTCGGGGCTTCCTCCAGCCCCCATTCCATCCAGGCTTCTGAGAATAATAGAGTGGGGTCTCCTCCACCCTCCAAGCATGGGAGGTAGCCAGGAGCCACACTCAGGGGAGGAGTCCTGACAGAATAAGTCCAAGGTACTAGTGCAAGGCCTGGGGACTAATTCAAGCTCTGTGAAGGCCAGGAGCTCAGGCACCCTGGAGCCCAGTGGAGGAAGCAGGAAGCCAGGGTGGCCGACCTGGCTCCCGTGGGTGTTACCAATGTTGTCTGGGAGTAGCGAGAATCTGCTTGCCTCTGAAGAAACCCCATAACCTTGGCCCCTGCAGAGGAGGGCTTGGTGGGCTTTGCTCTCTCAGACTGCAGGGTACAGAGGAAAGCCTGGGGGGAGGGAGGCAACCAGGCTGCTCTGTCCACAACTCTAGATGGTGATCTGAGAATCCTCCATGCCACCCAAGGTGGGCACCAGAGCTGCTGTGCACAGAGCTGGGAATGGGAGGGAGGGGTCACGGTTCTTCAGACTGTGGGAAGAACTCAGGGTTTCACAGTTCTGTGTGATGAATGAAGAGTCCCAGGCAAGGCTGGTGGGAGTTCCCAGGCACCAACACTGGCGCAGAAGTGGCTGACTTACGGGAGTCCCACGGCCCCTTTCATGGTGCTGTGATGTTGCTGTCACTCAGGGGACCATTCTCTCTAAGCCCAGCTCAAGCCCTCCACTCCCAGCTTGCAAAGGCTCTTTCAAGCTCTCCTTTGAAAGGCCTGCTCATCACGCCCCATGAGGTGCCTGTCTTTTGAGGATCTGCCGAAAGAAAGAAAAGTAGGTGGAGAGTGCCCTGCAGGCACTCCATCAGGGGAGGGGGTGGCGTGAACAAGCCAAGCCTGTTTTGCTTCTGCTCTCCAAGTGGCTCTGGCTCATCAAGTCGGAGAGTGGAAGCTCCTTCTGGGCTTGTAGCTTTCTGTTCTGTTTTTTTTTGTACTCTTAGTGAGAGTTCTTGTTAAGAGCATTTTGTGGGAAGCTCGAGATCCAAGGCTGCCTCATTTCCCAGCTGCCCAGGTACCCTGGACAGTCAAGGACACAGCTGTTTCCTCACGGCACTGTGGGTCCCTGTTGCCCATCCTGCATCTGCCTTTGTCAGAATAGAAATGCCTGGTCCCGCCACCTGATGTTTATCGGCTCGATGGTTCCGCATGGAGGAAAACTGCAAGGGGGACCATGAAGGGTTTCACTATCAGGCCTCCCAGGAGCCCTGAGGAAAATTCAACCATCCCTTGTAATTCATTTGCACATTGTCATCGATACATATGTGACCAAGACACACGGGGCGGACCGGCCTTTGGGAAAAGGGGGCAAATGCTCTCAAGTAGAAGTGGAGACCTCAGGGAGCCAGAAGTTTCCTGAAACTCCCCAGCTGCACACAGGCAGAAGGGAGCCACCGGGCCGTTCCAGAGAAGGCTGGTGGCCATGCAGCCTCCTAGAAGGGCCCCAGCCAGAGCGCTCTGAGTGGCTTCTGGGGCCCCTTAGAAGATCATTCCCTCATTCACTTATTCATATGCCTGAGTACTGAGCCCTGCTCTCAGGAGCACATAGTGGGTCAGCAGTCAAGGGCTCCCTGTGGGTCATGTGACCTCTTCTGTGGAGCTAGTTGGCAACACCCAGCCTGACTGGTTCTCATCACATGACTATACCTCCCCATGAGCACTGATGGTGCCAGTCAGCATCCCCATCCCTACACCACATGTGGCAAAGATGACCCCAGACAGTGTGTGTGTACTTGTGTGTGTCAAAAGACATGGATGCATGCACGTAAACCAGCTTTGGACTCAGATATTTAAGTTATAATTGGTTTCCTAATGGAATTCTCATGAAGTTTTGTTGTTACCTGCAGTGTGCTTAGGCTTTTTCGTGACCTAGGCAAGGTGGGACATCAGAAGGTAAAGGTCCAGCCTGGGTCTGTGTGGACTGTCACGGCCCATGAGCCCCCTCTCCAGTCCCTCTTCCTGACAGTAATTAAGTCTGACGCATTTGAGGTGTTGCTCTAATTGGTTTCCTAATGGAATTCTCATGAAGTTTTGTTGTTACCTGCAGTGTGCTTAGGCTTTTTCGTGACCTAGGCAAGGTGGGACATCAGAAGGTAAAGGTCCAGCCTGGGTCTGTGTGGACTGTCACGGCCCATGAGCTCCCTCTCCAGTCCCTCTTCCCGACAGTAATTAAGTCTGACGCATTTGAGGTGTTGCTTCTCTGCTACACCGACAGACACGTGGTCCCTTTCTGCCTCTGCCACCAGGAGGAGCAGTTTTCTCAGTTGAGCCCTATCTCTCCTGCTTCTGAGTCAGTGGGGAGATGCTGGAACGTGGCAGGGAGGTAGGTGTACAGGAGAACTGGGGCCTGGGGATTCAGGGGTTTGGCGGTGGAGGGCCACGACATCCCTGAAAACACAGGGCATGAGGTAACAGATGCTCAGAGTCCTCCCTGGCCATCCCGTTCTCTGCTCGGGCAACAGCGTCTGGCCTGGGGGGACCTTGGTGGCTTGCTGGGAAGCCAGTGTGATTTTCACAGGCCTGGCTGGAAAACAGAGATCGCTGTGCCTTCTCCTGGGACCACATGACATGGAAACAGTGCATAGACTGGCGGGGGGCGGGGGTGGTCCTCTAGGACAGAAGTGTGGGATGGTTGTGAGAACCACACTCTTCCCACAGCTCTGACTGTCCTGCTTCCTACCTTAACACTCAGAAAGTTTCTAACACAGTCAGGCACTGGGAGTGGCAGTGGCCGGTGCTGGGGAGCTCACAGGGTCAGAAGTGTGGGATGGTTGTGAGAACCACACTCTTCCCACAGCTCTGACTGCCCTGCTTCCCACCTTAACACTCAGAAAGTTTCTAACACAGTCAGGCACTGGGAATGGCAGTGGCCGGTGCTGGGGAGCTCACAGGGCTTCAGGACCACACCCCTGTGGCGGGCACAGTCTGCAGGGCTGGCCACACAGGCCTTGGCATGGCTTACGGCTGTGTTGCTATGGTCTTGAAATTCTTTACATGACCCGATCAGGGAGCTGCCCTGGCCCCACAGATTGTGTCATCGCTTATGACTTCTCATGGATAACTCTGTTCTGAAAACATTCTCCTTAAAAGGCTTCCTGCACAACTACATATCGATTTTTTCCCCAAGTCTGGTTAGGACCATGGCTTGCTGCTGCCTTGGCAGGTGGCCTGCGCCTCTCGGGAACTGAGCCCTTCCTCACTTCCTGGGCTGCAGAGGGATCTGCACACACAGGCGGAGAATGAATGATATCAGGTATGATGCTCATGGGTTGATTAGTCACAAGTTCATTGAGATAAGTTTTTAAAATTTTATTATTTTCATTTTATGTGTATGAGTGTGTTGCCTGCACGTAGGTAGGTGCACCTGTGTTGTACAGTGCCCGTGAAGGTAGAAAAGAGGGTGTCAGATCCCCTGGAACTGGAGTTATGGATGAATGTTAGCTGCTCTTAACTGCTGAGCCATCTCTTCAGACCCAAGGTGTCTTATTTATGGGGACTGTATGGGTGATTACACATTAATATGGCCCTGAAGTTAGAACGAGATGCATACATAATTTCACATTAGAAACTCCCAAGTTTAGGGCCTGGAGTGAGATACTGGTATTGCTGGGCAGGTTGCTGATTTCACAGAGGATGGTAGATTGACTCTGCAGGGGGCAGTCATACTGGCAAGCTATTCCAAGGCCTGTGTGGCCAGCCCTGCAACTGTGCCCACCACAGGGGTGTGGCCCTGAAACCATCCGAGTTCCACTCTTCCCTCCCACCGAGTTACTCTATTTCACTAAATGGTGTATGTCTGGTCACACAATAGATATATCTTTAATGTACACCATACGCACAGGACAAGAATATTCATGTTGAAAATAGCTGAACAAGGTTAAAGCGTTAGCGTGTTATGTAATATTATAGGAAAATGTACTTGCTTTTATGTAGGAGGATGATAACTTATTCTTTTCTGGAAGATTCCCTGGGGTGTCTCCCTGGCCAGCCCCTCCCCTGCCCAAGCTGACTGAGCTCACCACCATGGGGCTACTGTGCACCCAGGGAAACTGCTAACCAGCTAGTGGAGGGAATGCTTCATTGGACCATACCTCTGGGCCTCTGCTGCCTCATCTGGGAAATGGCAACCATGGGAGTTGCCTAGCCTGCTTGGCAGGGCATAACCATGGTGAAGGCTAAGGTGGCATCAGCTACCCCTGCCCCTTGGGGGAAAGGGTAGGCCCAGAGACAAGACACGAATGAGGCTGTGATGGTCGAGGACTCGACGGTGTCTAACCATTTGACAGTGCAATGTTACGTCATCATCTACAGCCGTGCTGGGCCTCATTCTTGGCTATTGGGGATGCATGTTGGTCACAGGCCACCGGCTGGGCCTGAAATGGAGCTAGAGTTTCCTCTACCTGATTTTCCCTTAAAGAAGGTGGCCAGCTTTTGGAAGGACCCAAGATGGCCCATGGTCTTTGCTGCTGTCACTCTAGAGGCTGAGAGCAGGGGGCATCCCTGCACTCGAGACCCTGGGGTTGACCCCTGATGGCATGAATTTAGGGAAGGACCTCAAAAGAAATGGTGTCCAACCAGAAGGAAGGGTGAGAGCATGGCAGGCAGACGGCGGCCTTCATGTCCCGCTGGCTTGGGAGCTTCTCTAGACTGTTGGTCCCTGGTCAAGGCTGTGAGCCTGTGACTATTTTCCCAGGCTTAAGGAATTAATTAAACATGGATGTACAGAGCATGCCGTACATAGTCATAGGAACCAAGTAACTAGTTTTTTGTTTTTTTGTCTCTTCTGTTTACTAGCCTCCCACCTCACGGTTTTATTCCAGCCCCTGCTACTACCCCAGATCCACAGAAACATCCACGGGAAACAGAAGAAGAAAAAAATGGAACAATCTTGATTCTATTTTAAACCACAAAGTAGTATTTCCATAGCAGAAAGCAAATAGAATTTTACATAATGCACAGAATGAATGCCTCCGAAAATCAATATTTCCAGCTGGATGTACAAATTAAATGATAATATTGAAGAGTGAGATTAAAACAATGATTTAAGATAGAAATTGAGTTATGCCACCTCATGCCTGCCTACTGCTGAATATGTTAATAGAACAGATTGGCCAGCACTTAGTCCATCTACCTCCTTAAACAGAAGGAGGAGGGATTCTTGTCAGAAGGCTGTGGGAATGATCAGGGACACCTCCCAAGGTACTCTGCTTCGCACAGCAAAGGCTCATGCTGGCCTCAGAGACGCCTGCTCAGTGGTGTGTCGTGACATGGCAGTGTTAATGGCTAGTGTGGGGAGCTTCCCGAGGACAGGTGGGCAGCTGGCAAGACCTCTTCTACAGGCAGGCAGTGGGGACAGCGCTGATCGGGGCCATGACACTGAGCACAAATCCTCTTAAATAGCCTGACCCCTCTTAGGCCACTTATATCTTTCTATGCCCTGGGGGAAAGGGGCACAGGACACTCAGTCAGGGGAAGTACATCAGGTTCAGTCTGCAAATGGTCTCTGGGGTACGGTGTGTCCATTCTGGGTGGCCTGACTGAAAGGGCTTATCAGTATTGGGGAGTGGACATTTCCCCTTGGCCACTGTGGGTGAAGGCTCCAGGCCACCCAGATGCAGACCTGTCCTTCACCACCTGGCCCTGCTGGCCCTTGGCTGGTCTGTATGTCCTGCTGTGCCATTGCTATCTCCCATCTTGCACCCTAGTATCCTATGCCCCCTCGTCCCTGAGCCTTAAGACTTCTGGGCCATCTCTACCTGTGATGCACTCCTCAGGCAGTGTCTGGTGAGAAGGAGGCCATGTGGGAGGACTTGAGGGAGGACCTAACCCTAGAGAAAAAAGGCCATCCAGGCTGGTACATCAGTCCCAGTTTCCGGAGACCCGATGCAAAGAACTCAGTTGATTTCTGACCTGTCGGGCTGTAGGTGACACAGGAATGTATTGTCTGTGCTGTTTGTGATGTGTCAGAAAGCTAGGCTGGGTATACTTCATACCTGCTAAAACCAGCAAGGGATACAAAGGACACTCACTGTTGCTCCATGCAGGCCACAAGCAGAGGACCCTTTCCTGCCCCCTCACGGCCTGCTGAGCTCCTTCCCCCAGGTTCCCTGGCTTGCTTGAGTCTTGCTTCTGGCTGGCAACAGCTTCTATGTGAATATTTCTCTGTGCTTTGTACATGTTTTTCCTGCTTATATCTTCTGCCTTCCTGGCCGTCTTCTTTTTCTTGGTGACTCCTTGTTGGCCTGAAGCAGGAGGCAGACCCTCCTACCGACCCACTGGGTGACATGTGGAGGTTAAACTTGTGGGTCTCAGGGATGAAGCAGCAGTCACTCTCCCTTTAACCTCTGTTAAGATGGTTGTTTCTTTGTCTCGGAGCCCAGGGTCCACTGGGCAGCTCAGATGGGCTGTCCTTCATGTGTAGGGACCCAGGGGGATAGAGAAGCAGGTTTGGTACAGTCCTGCCTAGAGGTGGGAGCAGAGAGGGAGCCCATCATACTCAGGTGTTTGTAGAACTGGGCCTAGAAAGCAGGATTTAGACAACGCTTCCCATGTGGAGCTCTCTGCTGAGGTCCCGGGATGGTGGAGTGTGTCCCTGCCTGGTCACAGGACAGAGGGTAATGGTCTGTCAGGTCCCACTAGCACTAATAAGTGCTATAGGGAGAGGCTGGCCACAGCCTCGGGGCTATGGTAGATGTCACCTCTGTGAGAGAGTTGATACTTGTCACAGCTGAAGTCCCCACCCAGGGCCAAAACCTCCTGGAGTTTCCACAAGTGAGCAGTGCACACGTAAGAACAAACTTTAATATCCTGGCTAATCCTCACTTTGCTCATAAGAAGCATTATCTAAATCCTGCTTTGAAAACTGTTCTTCGCCAGGCAGGGTAGAAACCACTTTCCACATCCAGCCTCTGTGTTTGACAGCCATCACCCAAGGGTCCTGCATATACAATGGCCCCTTCCTGACCTCTTCAGCCCTGTCACACTCCCCACAGCTGGGACTCTGTCAGTGCCTTAGACACACTTAGACACACACACACACACACACACACACACACACACACACACACACACACACATTTATACCAAAAAAATTACTTTACCAACCAATCACAACACACCATCATGAACAAGACATTTTAGAACTTTCTTATGAATTCAAGCAATCTTTTAAATAACACCAAGGGAAGTCCTGGGGTATCCCCACTTTACAGATATTTAGGAGGTGGGTCTGGGTGAGTTTGGGGCCTAAACTGCATGAGCTATGCAGTCATGTTCTCCCCGCAGAAGCAGCTGTCGATTCAAGAGTGGCCAGCTCTGTTCTCCCTCACATGTGGGGGCCTAGAAACGAGCCATGGGCAGGAGACTCACTGTGCTGACAAATGGCAGGGTGAGCTTTACTTGTGCAAATGCCCACTCAGCACGCCTTATGTGGCAGGTAGGTAGGGTTAGATTGGCAGGAAAGGAAACTTAGGTCACAGGATGCATCCCTGGTGGTGGAGCAGAGGGCAGTGGGTCCTCAAGGACCCCTGGCTCTGGTGGTCTCCTTTGTCAGAACAGAGCCATCCACTTCCAGATATCCCAGGAGCCTCTAACGAGCCAAACAAAACATCTATTTAATCCACCTGCTCTGACCTCCTTGCCATCCCCTGGGTCATTCTGTCTTGTCCTGGAGCTTGTCTAGCTCTTATGGACCTTTCTGGAAATGTCTGAGAGGGGTTACTGATCAGGACACAGTGTGAAGGTTCTAGCTGATCAGTTACCGCTTCCCTGCGCCACAGTGCGACAGAGTCACATGTGACTTTTAATCCATAACAAAGGTCCCCGAGCTTCATGAAAGTAAGATCTTGAGGTAGAGCCATTTTGAAGTGATGTTCACTCAACCAAGATAGAAAAGAATGCTTACAGCAAATACCTCACATCGTCAAAAACTGTTAAAAATCAGAAGTCTTGAAAACATGCTTCCAATTCTCAAATCAGGCTATGGGTTTCCTGTGGATCACAGCCATGTCATGCTGCAAATATGTATGAAATTATGAACACCAATATCCACCTTGGGATTGTGCAATAAGCAGAATTTATTTAAGCACTTGCAAAGTGCCTGCAGGAGGATTCGTCTTTGATCCAGATTTAATACAGGTTACATGATCGTAATGAGATGTAGTAAAAGAGCCACACCTGAACGGTCCAGTTTGCAGCCAGTTGTATTATGAGCGCCCATTGATTATAACCTACTAGATATTTAAACCAGATGTGAATGACACCACATGCACTAGAGACAAAACAAGAGTGATGGTCCATGCACGCTGCCCAACACCCAGGCCCTCCAGGTTTCTGAAGTTCACGTGATTTTGGCAGGTTAGGTGCCAAACTCTGGGTCTCGAGAGAGAGGAATGGCTCAACGTGGAGCGGCAGTGGTATGGCTAGGTTCCCACGCCCACTTATTCAAAAGCTAAAGTCCTTGTGATTATATCTTTATTAAGAATACACTACTTGGGGCTGGAGAGATGGTTCAGCAGTTAAGGCACTTACTGCTCTTGCAGAGTACCTGGATTTGATTCCCAGCACCTACATGATGGCTCACAACCATCCATAACTCCAGTTCCAAGAGATCCAATACCCTCTTCTGGTTTCCGAGGGCACCAGACACATATGTGGTGCATGTACATACATGCAAGCAAAGCACTCTTACACATAAAATAAAAATGAATAAATATTTATAAAAGAATAGACCATGCCTAGGCTAAGAGGGACTGAGCAATTCAGCAGGAATGCTCCAGCCAGCGTCAGGGATCTTCCCAAAGCCCAGCTCCATCCTTCAGTGGGCACTCTGCCTGAGCTGCATGCAGGCTCAGCACCAGGCCCAGGACCAGGGGAGCATCGACTCTGTAGTTGGAAGTAGGATCCAGGCAGAGCGGTGAGGACAGTGCTGTACGCTCAGGGCCCGGTCATGCTCCTGCCTTTGCAGATGCATCTAGGTGCTCTGAGAGCCCTGGTTCCACCTGGGCTCCCGTGGCCTTGAGGGTCTCTCTTCCCCACAGGGGCCTTCACAGTTTCAGTTTATTTTCTTATTTCCACCTTTGACACAGGGTCTGATGTTACTCTGACCACATAGCTCAGAACGTCCTTGAACGACTGATCTTCCTGCTTCCATCTCCGAAGTTCCAGGATTACAGATGTGTATCAGTACACCTGGTTTATGTAGTGCTGGGGACCAGACCCAGGGTTTCATGTAGGTTAGGCAGGCACTCTACCAACTGAGTTGCATCCCCAGCCCCAATTTTTTAAAAAAAAATGTGGGACTGGAGACTCGGCTCAGCAGTTAAGAGCACTGGCTGCTCTTCTAGAGGACCTGGGTTTGATTCCCAGCACCCACATGGTGGCTGGACACTCTAGACCGTCTAGAATGTCTGACAGCCTCACAGGCAGACTATCACAGTGCTATATGATAGAGGAAAAATAAAATGAGGTAAGGGAAGGGGGGATCTAAGGAGTCAGGAGCTGGGCAGTGGGCTCTCTCCTGCCTGGCTCCGTGACCAGAATGAAATGTGACGTCATAGGGACACAGTACTCAGCAGCCAGACAAGGAGTGGAAGCTTCAGTGTGGGCAGAATCCAGTGACCAGAGGCTCAGCAGGCCCCACTCAGTGAGGATGCCCTCAAGGCCCCCTTCCTGTCCTGTCACAGGATCAGGAAGACCTCAGTGGGGGCTGAACAGGGGCTTTGGGACAGTGCAGGTGCTCTGTCCATCACTGTCCGGATCCCTGCTGGAGAGGGGATCAGTCTTATTTGGAAAAACAGAGTGGTCACTTCTGCACAGAGATGCTAACAAGAAAGGTTCCAGGTGTTTGGCCACTGGGTGCTTGCTTCTATGTCCTCCTGGAAGCTAGGAGGGCCGTGACGCAGAAGCAGGGGATGTCTGTCTTCTTTTCATGTGCTGCCTGTCTATGAGAAGCTGTGTGATGTCAGCCCGTGTTCCCAAAGGTCTAGGAAGGCCATAAGGACAGAGGATCATGAGGATCTGGGGTGAGTTTCCCACATGCTGTCACCCCTAG